GTGTGTGTGTGTGTGAGTAATGCTGAACGTTATATGTTCTGCAACAGGAAGTGAGGAGAGAGACTCGCAGACGAACTGAACTCACACAATCATCTCTGATAGATGACGGACGTGTGTGTGTGAACGCTTGATTCATGAGTGTGTCCTGATGTGTTTATCTAGCACATCTCATGCTTCTATAGTGTTGCTCATGTGTGTGTGAAGGAAAAACTGATTATGATTTTGATTCCCGTCTCGTTTTATTTAGAAGCGTCAATTTCATTTGTCACTTCCTGTAGCGGGACGTCAGCAACGGAAACAAGCGTTAGAGAGAGAGAGAGAGAGAGAGAGAGAGAGAGTGAGAGAGAGTGGTCGGTCACTCACTGAGAAAAGCGGATTATTTTTGTCGGGTGTTTGATGGCGAGTTTCACTTCTTCATGTTCTGCAGTTTTGTTCCACATTTCCGTCAGCATGTCTAAATATTTACAGCAGCACAAACCGGCCTGCTGACAGTGTGTGAGAGTGTGTTTGTCCAGGCACAGAGATCTCTCTCTTCTGCAGCCTTTTGCAATGGTTTTGACGTCACACACACACACACACACACACTACTGCTGACTTCCTCCTGAGAGAGAGTTCATCTCCTGGTCTTTGTATTTAGAATGTTTCAAATTACAGTTTTGACCCTCAATAGTCAAAATAAAAATTATATATATATATATATATATATATATATACACACACACATACATACATACATACAGTGCATCCGGAAAGTATTCACATCGCTTCACTTTTTCCACATTTTGTTATGTCACAGCCTTATTTCAAAATCAATTAAATTCATTATTTTCCTCAAGATTCTACAAACAATACCCCATAATGGCAACTGTGAGTGTGAGTGTGTGAGAGTGTGAGTATTTTAGGGTGTGTGTGAGTGTGTCAGTTCAAGTCATCCTCATTTATACAGCACGTACTTTTAACAATGTAGATTGTTTTTTTTTAATTGATTCTCTTCCGCCGCAACGATCTAGTTATTAATGGGTACACATCATGCTTTTAAATCATTCATTTTTACATATAAATCATACCGTTGTGGTCTATATAAAGCATAACTGCAATGCTTGGGTCTGAATTCCTCATTATTAAAGCTCCACAAGCCCCTTTTCTGATGTGCGTCTGTGAGCGACCCGTTTCAAAGCGGCCCCTTTAAATAAACAGGAGATGCGTCACACCCCGCCCGCTCTCCAGGTCCATGAGTTCAACTCCCCACGTTCGGCCATTATTGTAGTTTGATTAGAGATATACGATTATATACGATACCTTTAAAGAACATTTTTATTCACACGTTAATAACAGAAGACTTGTCCATCAAGCCTTACATATTCCAGCCAGAGCGAGCGAGTCGATAAAGACGACGACGAACCTGCAGAACAACCTCTTCATCATATGGATGTATTGGTATGCGAGTTAACTGTTTTGTGTTATTAGTGAAAGTCGACTATTTCTCTTGTTAAAACAAGCACACCGACAAGATAAATGACTACGGTCTAATCTTACCACAAACAATCTGTATTGATAATATGATACGTTTAGAAAAGCAGCTAAATGAGCATTAATGAAACTCAAGAACAATAATACTGCAGACGTGTAACGTTACTTCA